GAATGAGCTAGCCAAATTGGCAGATACCATTTTAGCTTTTACCTTTTACCTACAGCCAAGATGCAAAAGAAGAGATCAAAGGGCAAGTGGTCAGCAGCTGAGAGGACGAAGCCTGCATGGGACATACTTCTACTAAAAATATTCACTGTTTAAACGACATGCAAATGCAACTGGAAATGGCTACAGAGTTTAGTGCTTACGGTACAGATGATCCTGGGTAAATACTGCAGAAGGAGTACATGTCACACTAAAAAGAACGAGTGGATGCAGAATGAGGCCAAAGCCAAACCCAGCCTACCTTCCATGCAAACCATTACCCAGGAACAACCTCCTCCCTCCATCTGGGGCCTTGTGAACTATGGACTTTCAGAACACACAGGTTCAGGACATCAAGCAGCAGGTTCTAAACAAGGTAATTAAGCAGGCTGACAGAAAGACTTAAGTCAAATCCAAAAGTGACTTCTTTCCAAACCAGGTTAAGAATCATACCTAAAAACTCAAAAAGAAGGTCTACCTAGAAGAGGCCTTAAACCTCTGAACAAGTACTCACTCTGGGTGGTTCCCTGTTGCCAATTTTATGACATCTTTGCTTTGCCTTTTTCTCCCACAGGTCCAAAATGAGGAAGCTGTAAAACCCTGGCTAAACGCAACCATTTGCTAAGAGAAAAGCCAACATGGGGCCCATCTATCCTTTACAGGATCCTGCTTGTCCTGCCTTTGTGTGGCTGTCACCATTTACAAAGAGTGGCCCAGCTCCCTCAGAGTACCTGGCAGTGGGCTGAGGCCTTGTCTGGGTTTTCATTATCTTCCTAGAGAAAATTTGGGGAGGGGCAGTTCATTTTCCTGTAGTGCTAGGGATCAAAACCAGGGCCTTGCACATGGTAGGCAAATACTCTAGCTCCAAGTCACATCCCCAGCCTTTAAAAAACCTGTGTTTTTGAAGCATCAAAAAGGTCCAGCAGGAATCAGTGCCCTTCCCCAACTGGTCTGCAGTCCTGCCTTCATGGCTGGCCACCAATTGCAGTGACATTTTCTGCCTACAATCTACAAGACAAGAAGCTTTCCAAAGACAGGGCCTAGCAAAAGGCCTTCCACATAGTAGGCTCTCAGTAAATACCAAGAAAGTGAACCTCTCTTCTGATAGGAATCCCCAATCAGCCCAAGGAAAAACCCAAACCAGCTGCCCACATTTCTCAGTCTCATGATAAGTGAGGGAAAATATCTTGACCTGCCTTCGAACCACAGAAAGATTTCCACGGAATTCAAGCAGTTCCTTTAGCAGTTCTAATTTTAGGCAGAACCTAGGACAGGATACTGGTGGCAAACGGGGCGGTGGGGGGGGGGGCGTCTAAACAACGCCCCTATTCTGCTCTGCACAGGTGCTGGTAACAGGAAACCTCTGTCTAAAGCGTGTAGTGTGGTGCACTCAGGTGTGGGTGGGTGTTTTTTAAGTCTAAATCACTCTCCTAAGCCAGGGCAAAGTTCTTCCCCACAGCAAGCCCAACTCAGCTCCTCACATGCTGACGCTTAAGCAACGGGAAAGGAAAATATTTGATTTTAGCATCCAGCTTGGATTTTGTTTTTTCCCCTTTTTTAAAGCAAGTTAATTATTAAAAGAAGACAGACATCTTCAAGATAAGCTGTACTCAAGTTTGGCCAGAAAAGTCTCCTGGTCTCCAAACTCCCTTAAACTCACCTCATTCTGGTTTAATTACTTAAAAGCAACAACACTAATCTACTTGCAGGATTTACGCCATTTCAGTCCAGGACAAGGATAGAACCCGCCCCCCCAAAAACTTTCCAGGTCCTCCTTAACTCTGTCACCTCTAGACCACTGTTCCCCAGACAAACCAACTATGGCTCTTCCCTGAAGCCACGTGGATAGCTGTCACCCCTTTCCTTTGGGACCAGCTCACACCAGAGGACTTGATGGGAAATTTATGTGGCTCTGAGAGAAGATGGCCAGTAAGTGATTTTGCACACACTGTTCATTGGTGACCACCACTACGCAGGGAGGAGGAGGCAAAAGCACCAGGTTCACTCCAGGAATTGATAAGTTATTTAACAGCTGCTGCTTGCTTTCCCTGGCACCAAATCCCAAAAGAAGAAAAGTAGGATTTCTTCCCCACTACCCCTGAGAAGGGTAAAACACACGCCCTGATGGCCAAGGGCTGGGTCGTGAAGGATCTTTAGAATAAAGAATCTTCTCTAGCTTTCTGTGTCTTGAGATCTTTTAGTTTTGGAAGATGGATGGTACCAGGTCTGGGAATGGCTCCATTTTCTGTTTCCTTTTTTTTCTCCAAAGAGGAAATTGACTCCCTTCCTGTGCTGCTGTACGTTTTGAAGAATTAAATGGTACTTCAAAAAACCATTTTCCTTACCCTTTTCTAGCCATGGTGAGAACATCAATTCTAAGAACATAATCTGAAAATGGTATCAAGATGGAATTCCAAGTGGGTTTCCAACATTTATGCTTCTCCCTCAAAGCAAACAGAAAGGGACCACAGGCATGATAAACTCACCATGAGCTTAAAGAAGAGGGGTCATTAGAAAGTCAGCTGGTTTCAGATATTAAAAACTGACTTATTGCTGGAGGCTTCATGAATGTGCATATCATAAACTGCTTATCTAACTCTACGGCCAAATTTTCCATTTGCTTATTTCCCCTTTAAAAATCACACTGCCACCTAACCCAGGAAGAAGTACTGCAGAATAAAAGTACATGAGAATATTCAGCTACTGTTCTATGTATAAACCATCTGGGATTTCAGGCACCACGCCTCTTGTTCCTTCCCCTCAACTCCCCCAAAGTCTAAAAGTCTGTAGAAACCAAAGCTTACTTTAGCCCTGTACTCCACCTTCCTTTAAAACTTGTTTACTAAAAAAAAAAAAAAAAAAATCGTTTACTGCCAAAACAAAACAGAAAAAATAAATGCCTTCCTACAGGATATTGAACACCCTACCAAACTCAAAGAGAAAGAAAAAAATATGTTCATCACTAAGCATTACATAAGAGACCTTGATTTTTAACTAGAACCCTCCAGAGTGGGGGAAAAAGCCTACCTTTGCATCCACACTGCCAGGCAACCAGAGGACAGCAGGTGGAAGGTAGGAGAGCCCACCGTGGGGAGAATTACCTTCTGAAGGGCTTTAGATTCCAACCACTGAATGGGAAGAACTGAGCCCAGATTCTGGGTTAAGGAACAAAGACAGAGGAAAGTCCAGGTGTGAACACTGTGGGACTGCAGAGAGCGGGTGGGTTAGATTTCCGGGTTCCTTGTTACTCACAGACTGGAAACATCTTTTATCTCCTCCACAAAGCCCAAGTGGCTTTACCAACCCATCTCAAATTCCTCCTCTGGAGAACAGAATAGATTTTGTGTGCCTTAAACCAAATCTTGTTTGACTATCAGGCATGTAGAATTTAAGTTAACAATAAATACCAGAGTCCAAGGAGAGACACCAATCACTGTTCAAAAGAGCACTTCAAGAATTCAGAGTGGACTGGGGGCAAAGGAATGAAAGGGGTTGTCCTTGAACAGCGACCAATCCATCTAAATCCCAGTGACTGGATTAAAGACATTCCTGGGCAAGCAGGCTCTGGCTGCAGCTCAGACGACAAGAATGTCAATTTCTGACAAAAGCACAAGATTTGGAGGATTTCAAAATGGACAAGCCCAGGGACCAGGCACCTTGGCAAAGTTCACACTGAGAGGTGGCAATTGGGTCTGAAAGGGGGAGGGAGGCGTGACAGCTGAGCATTCCTCCCCAAAGTCCATCTCGGAGGCACCATGCCTTCCCAAACCTTACACTTCATCAGACAAAAGCTTCTCCAGGCGCCAGGCAGAGGCTGGAGAGGGGCTGTCCACACCCACTCGCCAGCACTGCTTTCCAAACCTGCCCACTCTTTTGGAAGCCGAGCTTTTAATTAAACACCACCTCCTCGGATCTGTTGAGGCAAACTGGGGCTGGGCTGGGGCCAAAGAGAAGCTCCCTAAAATACACTTGAAAAAAAATCCCACCCCCACCGCCCCCAAATCCCACCTTCAGCCAGCTCTCATGGCTGCTTATATTTCCTTTGGATGAGTAACAGAGACCCTGGTCTATCTCTGTGCACCAAAAAATCCACATTCAAGGATCAGGTATCTCCAGTCCCACCCTTTGCAGGAAAAAGGCAGGGTGTTGTTCCCCGCCCCCAACCAACACGCGCGCTCACGCACGCACACACAATCCCTACAATCCTGCTCAGAAAAACAGAAGTAGGGTGTGTGTGTGTGTTGGGGGGCAGGGTATAGTTCCTTAGGGAGCCCCAATTTTGCCTTCAGGTGGGAGCCTCAGTTTAGGGGCCTCCCTTTGCAAGGCTGCCCTAGGAACTTCTGCCCCCGCCCCCCCAGGGAGGGCTGAGGGAAGGCAAGCACACGCTCACCAGCTTTGGAACAACCTAATTAATAACTAATTTGTTCAGATCCCCCACACATTCCAGGTAGTTCTGAAATCCAAGAAGGCAAGAAGCCTCTCCCAGTTTCTCAGGCTGGGGACTCCTTCTTGAGGTCGGACAGAGCCCCATTCCCTCCCCACTACCGCGCCAAGCACCCCCACCCCGAACCCGGGGAATCAGGTGTCCACCTGGGTATCCAGCCCCCACGGATCACAGACGCTCAGTCCAGGGACAGACAATGGAAAACTTGGAGCCGGGGCCCTGAGCCGGTCCCCCCCTCCAAGAGGAAAGAGATGGTGCCGCCCCTTGGGATAATGAACCGGGAGATGGCCGGGGACATGAGACACCCCTCTCCCCTGCCCGGGAAATCGCCCGCTCAGTGACCTAGCAGAGCCTGGAGCAACGCCGCGGGTGAGCAGGTGACACCCGGGCCAGGATCTCCCGCAGGTGGCGGGCGGCCACGGCGCAGGCAAGGGCCGACCAGTTGGCCAGGGGTGGAGGCGAAGCCCCGCAGCTAGGTCAATGCGCGGTGGCCGCCGCAGCCGCGCCCCCGGCGTCCTACCTTCATGTCGCTGATGATGGTCTGGAAGAGGCCTCCGAGCGCGCTGCATTCCTTCTCAATCACAGCCTCCATTTTCCCGGCGCGGGCAGAGAGAGGACAGGCTCGCGGGGCCGCTGGACTGCGCGCGGGGCCGGGGCTCGCTCACCCCGGGAGGAACCTCACCCTCGGAGCGACCCACCGCCGGCGCAAAGCCTCTTCTGCGGAGAGGACGGGTGCACGAGATCGACGGTTCTCTGCCCCCAAATGATAACAATAATTTAAAAAGCCAAACCGCTCCGTAGGGTGGTTCGCCTACATGCAGCGCAAGGCACTTGGCCTCAAAAATGCCCGGAGAAAACTGACAATCAGGCCACCACGGGTGCCCACGACAGAAATGGCAAAGCCCATCTTGATGCAGAAAAAACCGCCTGCTGACCTGGGGCCAGCGCCATTTAAAAATAAAGGTTTTTCAAATTTAATCAATTTTTCTGAAATTTAAAAAAAAAAAAAAAGAAAGAAAGAAAGAAATAGCCCAGCAGCAAAGAGGGTCTGCTGGCGGCGCTGGGATCTGTTGCTCGCAGCCGCGGCCGCCGCCTCCTTTTCACTCCTGCGCGCCCGGCCCCGAGCTCGCTCTGGCTGAACTCCCGGGGACGTTCCGAGGGGCGCACGCGCGCTCGCGGCCGTGCGTTCGCCGCGGGGACGCGGACAGGGTGCGCGCTCGCGTCCGAGCGTGCGCCGCACGCGGGCGGGGCTGCGAGCGAGCGCGCGCCGGGGAGGCGCGTGGGGCGCTGTCTGCAGCGAGGAGTCCGCCCGCTGGCTAGCCGAAGTCTCCTCTTCCGGGACGCGCGGAACACTCTCTCCTGCCCTGGCCGCCGGTAGCAGCGTGGAGAGGGCAGGTCAGCACCTTATCGGGAGAGCGCCCACCATGGCTGCCAGCGCGCGCCCGAGGTTGCACTGTGCACTGCTCCCCGCCCCCCCACCCTCGGGACTTGCACGCGGTCACGATTAGCCCCGCGCCCAGCACCTAGTGAGTGCTCACTGGGGCGGGAAAGCTGCTGCTTCTACTGCAGCCTCTGAGAAGCCCATTCGGTGATGTCAGGACTGCAACGCCGAGTCACGCTTGTAAATAGCCAGATACATAATTAAGGGGAGTTTGGGGGAGTATCCTGCAGATGCGGAGTTCGATAAAGTTGCAGGTTGCTGGGGAAGTGGATTGATCCGCTTGTAAAAGGAATGGAAAGGACATTAGAGCTCCTATCAGTTCATTAGTCTACAGAGACTGCTGACTGCCTGTGTCTTGGACGGTTGTTTTTCAGGCCGGTTGAGGTCATGGGGTGCTGCTATAACCGCAGAGAGCCCTCTGGGGACGTTTAGCGTGAAAAGAGCAGAAAGTACTTAGGTTGATTTGGGACTGGTGCCTCGGGTTCGCAGCTCCACAGCTAACTCCATAGCCAGGAGCACTCATTCCTTTAGGTCAGCTGACTGTCGGGCTGAAGAATCAAATGAGCAACTTTGTGAAGATCTTAAAACAAAAGCACCTAAGTGAACTTTGACCCTTAAGCCAAGCTTTTGAAGTGCAATACACAACAAAAGGAAAATGAAGCTGGGTGGGAAAGTTAACAAAATAAACCAAGTGTAAAATGCTGTAGATTTCCGTTGGGTTGACTCTTAATAGGAAAAGCCTGGCTTTGAGCACTGCATATCTCAGCCACAGAAGACATTTTTGCCTCTGGGTCACTGCCCAAGTCAACTGCGACCTCCCCCCTCCACCCCTCTTCTCCAAATCACTAGGAGGGAGGATACCTTGTAGGAATAACTGATCTCTTAGGCAACCCTGCTGGATCCTGACCTCAAGGCTATTCATTGTCTAGGCCCCGCCCTCACCTTGCCAGTAACTGCTTGACACATGGTTTGTTCTCAATCATCATGGTGATTTTAGCGCTGTAGGAATTGTGATGATCAGCTGACTGCTTGGAGAGCCAGATTGTCTGGTTCAGACTCCAGTTTACAACCTTCTAACCATATGGCCTTGGATAAATTACCTAACCCTTTGGGCCTCAGTTTCCTCATCTGTACAAGGGGCTCTTGATGGCATCTATCTGATTATCTGTTCTAAGCACTACGTAAGTGAACAGATGAAAACCGATAAAGTGGTATCTGGCATATGGGAGGTAAACACTTAGGAAATCATCACCAGAAGCAGAGACCAGGCTCATGTCCAGCTTTGGCCCAGAGTACCCATAGCAAGACTGCCATGTTGACATGCTTTCCCACTGATGATCAGAGTGTCTACCATAGCCAGTCATTTTACAAGGACTAAGTTTCCAGTACTCATTTCAACATTGAGAAGACTCGGGCTTTCTGACTTCTATACCAAGGTCTCCAAGACACCTGGGATTAGGAACCCCTGCCTTAGCCCAAAGGACACGAAGTTTGACTTTCAGGACACATGCCCCAAACACTCCAACTTTAGCATTTACCAAAGCACAGCTCTCTTGTGGCCTCTTTTTCCCCAGACCTCTACTGGCCCAAATATAATGAAATATCCAAAATCTTCCTGGAAGGGTCTCCAGGCAAGTTCCGTAAGGTAGGAAAGGTCCAGAACTGGGATGAATGGCTAGGGTGAGGCTGGTGTGTGGAGGGGTTTTGCGGAGGAAGAATGACAGATGAGGTTTACACCTTAACATGATATTCTGTCCCCATGTTTGAGCATCTAACTTTAAAACATCAAGCACTCTCTGGGCAGCCAGTAAAATCCAATTGATGGGCAGTTCCTTTGGGGAGTATTTGCTTCTTCTGTTTTTTTGTTTTTCAGAGTGCTGAGGCTTGAAGCCAGTTCCTTGCACAGTGTTGTGATTTTTAATAGCTCCTACGAGGAGGAATCCAGAAAAATGAATCTGTTAGAAGAATTTTGACCCTTGTTTCCTCTGGGGTACACAAAGCTTAGAGCATGCACCTCCAGCTCCCTGCTTTGTGACCTTAGCCTGGGTACTTGGACAGAGGGAGCCAACCTCTGTTTCACCAGGGTTCCCAATTCACTGACTGTTCTGAGAATTCACATGGATGTCTGTACCTATTGCTTGTTTACTGCTACACCAGTGGGTCCCCTTCCTTCCCAGCAGTGATGCCCAACCCTGGCTCTCCCAAGGGCTCTGCCCTGTTGCTCCTCAAACTTGGCTGCATTTTGGAATCTGTGGGAGGAATTTTAAACTATCCATGCCTGGGATCTACTCCCAGCAATCTGGTTTAATTAGTAGGGGCTGTGACCTGGGCATCAGGACTCTTTAAAGTTTTCCACCTGATTCTAATGTGTGCAAAGTTAAGAACCCAGATCTAGAGAACTTTAAAAGAAGGTACCCATGCCTAGATCCTACCCTAAACAATTCCAGCAGGAGGAGGCTAGACTCCAGAAAACTCCCACCCCCTGTGGAGATTGAACTCAGGGCCTGAAGCTCTACCACTTGTGCCACATTCCCAGTCCTTTGAGTTTTAGTTTGTTTTTCAGATAGGGTCTCATGCTAACCTTGCCCTGACTGGCCTAGTACCCTGATCTTCCTACCTCTGCCTCCCAATTAGCTGGGACAACAAGCATGCACCTCCTCACCCAGCCTCAGAAATATTTTTAACATATTCTACATACTTCATTCTATCCTTACATAAGGATACACAGGGGTGTACCTGTACAGATTTTGTCATTATTTATGTCACAAAAATGGGATTGCATTGCACACACTTTTCTGGATCTTGCTATTCACATTCGTTTCCTGGAGAAATCCCTCCAGGTCAACTGATATTAATCTAATTAACTCATTTTGCTTTTATTTCTTTTTTGTGGTGCTGGGGATTGAACACAGGATCCTGCGCGTGTTAGGCAAGTAAGTGTTCTATCATTGTGCTACATTCTTTTCTTTTCATTTTTTACTTTGACATACTTTGAGATTTACAGAAATGTTTCAAGAAAAGTGTAAAGAAATCCCATTTTCCTTTCATTAGACTCCCAGAGTGTGGACCCGTTATGAGCAAGGCTTTGTGCCTGGGCAGGTGTTTAAAGCCCTCAAGTGTTTCTGATTCGTGTCAGGCTTCTGTTAGAGGTCTCACAGATTGCTGTGAGACTGTAGGCAGTGTCTGTGACACTTCTGATCTTTGTGAGTTTGCATTGGAGGCAGCTCTGTAAGGTGCTGGACATGGCAGCCACAGAGTCAGGCTGCTGGGTTTGATTCTAGCTCCATCACCTCCCAGTTTTCTGTGCCTCACATTCTTCACCTCTGAAACAGGGAAAATAGATGTGCTGGGTGACCACTGAGGGGGATTATTTAGAGCAGTACCTGGCACACAGTGAGTCCACACTAAAGGTTAGTTCTTTCTATATTGATCACTCTCGTGGATCACCTATGAAATAAAGTTGGTTTAAGCCTGCCAGGACAACCAACTTACAAGCAGAATTCTTCATGATCCCCACACCACTCAGAAATAGGCCCTCTTTTCAAAATGAAATTAGCAAGAACCAATTAAAAATATCTGCCCCAATGACTCATCCTAAGAGATGTTTTGTATGTGTTTTGACTGGGAAATGCCCACGTCTAACCTCAGTGTCCACAATGTGTCACCAGGGCAGGAAATCGTTACCAGGCAATGAACTGATTAGCAGCAAGCCAGAGTAACAGTGGACAGCAGGCTCAGAAACCCAGGCCTGTGGCAGCAGGCCATGCACCTGCCCCTCGGACCAGCTGCTCCCCAGGCCAGGGCCAGGTGGGAATGTGGGTCCTTGTTGAGTGTGTCCCTGTCTTTCGGTAGAGGCGGAAACCTTGTGCTTTGATGTGATGTTTTCCAATTTTTAAATAGTTTTAGATTTCCCAACTTTAAAAAATACTTCCTTTGCAAGCTAGTTTGCAGCTTCTGATCACGGGAGTTGAGTTGTAGGGGTTGGCTTACAGGAAAGATAAGGAGTGGGCAAAGAACTTAGGAGAATTTGTTTCTCTGGAGCTGTTCAAGGCACAGAGGCTGAACCTGATGGCTCTAGGTTGCAAGGATGAGTGTCTGCTCTGTCGTTGACGAAGGACAGCTTCATTCAATTCCTCTGATGGCTTTTTGGTTTGGGGGGGAATTTTTTTGGTGGTATTGGGGCTTGAACTCAGGCCCTCACTGGTAGGCAGGCAGTCTACCTCCTGAACCACTCCACCAACACAGTGTTTTGTGTTGGATATTTTCAAGATAGAGTCTTGTGATCTATTTGCCCAGGCTGGCCTTGAACCATGATCCTCCTGATCTCTGCCTCCAGAGTAGCTGGGATTACAGATTTGAACTACCAGCACCTGGCCTCTGATATATTTTGAGCACCTACTCTGCACCAGGCAGCATCTGACTTCCTTGCTTTGGCTTAAGTTCCCACATTGCCTGTGGACTACTGATTTAGCCTCTGCTAAATGGGGCTCTCTGGGGAGCCGAAATCCCAGTTACAAATAACAGAACAAGACTCCGGAACC